TTTTTTTGGTCTTTTTGAAACAGGGTCTCCCTGTAGACCCAGCTGGCCTGGATTCGCTATGGAGACCAGGTTGGCCTTGAACTCAGAGATCCGCCTGCCTCTGCCTCCCAAGTGATTAAAGGCGTGCGCCACCACGCCCAGCATTCCTTTACCTTTTTATTTTGAAATATCTGTAGACTCATGAATTACAAACACTATAGAGTTCTCATGGGCCCATCATCCAGCTTCCCCTAAAGGTTAACACTTTATGATGGTGCATTATTAAAACCAGGAAGCCTCAAATGTGAAAAAAAGGGGGTAAAGGAGAGGGGGAAGAAGGCCATACAAAGAACTATGAAAATAAAGGGGAAGAAGGAGCTCAAAAGAGGTGGGACCATAGCATATAGAAATTATCAAGGGAGAAATGGGGAAAATGGGAACACTTTAAATGGGAAGGGTAGGGAGAGAGGATAAGACAGGTAGAAAAAAAGGAAAGATAATAGTGCCTAACTAGTATAAAAAAAAAAAAAAAAACAGGGAATAGTATTAGTCCAAAAACCTACTGGAAAATTACATACAACATCTGTACATGAGTCCATGAGTATAGCTGAAGACCACATAAGAAACAGTGCCAGACAGGAGAAACTTTCCTTTGAGTTGTTGGTCAGGGTACTCCAAGAGACTCCCAAAATTACACAGGCTATTGTCACAGTCCTTGACTGCCTCCCAGAACTTGATGGTTGATGTTAAGATCCTATTGCTGAAGACAGGACATACTTTGGACACAGGATTTGAAGCAATGGAGTTGGAACTGACCTAGAAGCCACTTCCCCTGAAGGCTACCTTTCATAGCTTTGGAGTACACTATGCAAGCTGGTAAGGGAAAACATCAACCCTAGCTTCGAGGCCCAAACACCACAGCAATGACCAGCACAGCAAATGACACTGGTGCAGTAGTAGCACTTTTACCTTGGGGGTAATCAACAGCTACCTAATTGGACTTAAAGCCCACTTAAGGGAGGAAACTTATGTCTGGTACTGTACACCCACCCTGCCAAATACACACAGCTGGAGAGGTCACAGATCTTAGCGAGAACACCAAGACTCTCATATCCCTAGCCAAATGTAATTTCTTACTATGTGCAAAATGTGGATCCCTAAATTTACAGACAGGTATCCCAGTCACCACATATCAAAGTAGCTTCTTTTTCAACAGACAGAGATTATTACAGAGTTGTAGCACTGGCCACACACAGAGAGTCCCTGTGAATTGCCCAAGCCTAAGTGGAGCATCTAGGATGCAACCTCTGCACCTAAGACGCACAGAACAAGGGGATGAAGAGAACAGGAATGCACCTTTCAATTCTCATCAATGCAGCTCCCTCATGCAACAGAAGGCCAGGAACACAAAAGATCACAAATGGCCAAAACAGAGAACAAGCGTCTGCAAAGTCTGGGTCCATACAACAGAAGGCCAGGAACACAAAAGATCACAAATGGCCAAAACAGAGAATAAGCGTCTGCAAAGTCTGGGTCCTTGGATGGGACTCCTATATTGAGGTCGACCAACCCAGGGCTCAGGGACCATTGCGGAAGAGGAGGCAGAAAAATTGTAAGAGTCAACGAGGTGGTGCATGACCATATGGAAATGTTCCTACAGGCACCTGGGACCCTTCTCACACAAACCTATAGCAATGCTGTCAACAAGCACAAGATCCATGCAAACTTAGGCAGATAAAAACCCAGTACAGAACTGTGAAAATGAACAGCAGGCCCCAATCTTAGTCGAAGAATTATTGGCAGCTGATTACTGCTGGGTGAGGAGAGCTGATCTTCTTGAAGGGAGAGACCTAGATAGACTGACTAGATCCCAGTGGATGAACTTGTACTGAGGGACATCTGGGGACACTAACTTTACATGATAGGCTGTTGGGAGCTATTAATCCATTATATACATTGAGCTGTGGCAGGCTTGTTTAGAGTTTGTGTTTTGCACACCAGTACCTAATCTGCCAAGTCAGGAGGAATGTGTTTATATGGTGGAGTTCACAACAAGTATTTGACCGCTCCTTGACCCTCAGATACAGGTGGGAAAAACAGCTGTTGAAGCTAATTGAGTTAAGCAAATGGTGGCTATCTGATGTTCTGCTGTATAAAAGGCGGAGCTAAAATAAACCAGGGCTGCAGTCTCTACTGACAGTCCTCCCAAGTATCTTTTCTCTGTCTCTTGTTTTTTCTTTCAATCCTCACTCCCCCTTGCAGGTACTGTCTTGGCCGGCTGGCACCGGCAATAGGCCATAACACCAATGACAGAATGTATGAATTCCAGTGGGGGGCTATAGGAGCCAAAGGGGAAGGGGTCATAAAGATGATTTTCTGTATGAAATATACAGAAAAAAAAATCAATTAAAAAAAAAACCAGGAAACCTCACACAATTACAGTGAACAGGCTTGGACTCTGCAAGGCTGTGTAGGTCCTATTCTCATTTTTAAGATTTATTCTATTTTCTAATTATATGTGTGTGGGCATGTGTGTAGATATGTGTGTGTAAATAGATACCCATGGAGGCAAAGAGGTATCTGAATCTCTCTGGAGCTGGAGTTACAGGCAGTTATGAATGGGCCAATGTGGGTGCTGGGAATTGAACTTGGAGCCTCTGCAAGAGTAGTAAGTGCCCTTAACTGCTGAGCCATCTCTCCTGCCCTAGGTTCTATTCTTATCTGAGTCTCGGTAGGATTTTGTGACAGTCTACCATACTTACAGACTTGTGTGCCCACCACGAGAACACAATTCTATTCCATCACCAAAGATCTCCCTCCTGATAACCTTTATGGTGATATTCAATCCCCTCCATCATCTCCAATTTCTGATAAGCTACTGATTTGTTCTCTATTGTCATAACTGTTTCTTTTTGAGAATGCTAAGTAAATGGCATCATATAGTACAGAACAGTATAGACCCTTTGATACTGATTTTTCTTACTCAGCACAAAGCCCCTGCGATCCATTCAGGGTACTGAGTAGATCCTGCTAAAAAGCACTCCAGGGTATAGACATGCCACTTTGTTTAACCACTCCCTTTGAAGAGTGGGTTATTTCCAGACTTGAACAGTTATAAACAAGGTTGCTATGAACATTCAAATATGGTTTTGTGTGAAAATAAGTTTTTCAAAGCCAGGCATACTGACCCATTCCTATAATCCTAGCACTCAAGAGGGCTAAGGCAGGAGGATCATGAGTTCAAGGCCAGCACAAACCTGTCTTAAATAAGAGCTTTATTTCTGTAGGCCAAAAGCTCAGGAGTACAGGACAAGCTTCACTTCCTTGAGACACTGCTAGACTAATTTCCAGAGGAGCTGTAACCTTAATATTCCCACCAGCAATGCAAGAGGGCTAGCTTCTCAGCATCTCTGTAACTTTTGTGAACATCAATATTTTTTTTTTAAACTAAAAAAATTTCCAGTTTCCTACTGGATTGGCTAATAGGTATGTAAGCAGAACCTGCTGATGCACTACATCTTTGTGTAGGAGTTGAGATTTTTTTGTTATTCTTTTTAAAATTATTTAATGTATGAGTGTTTTGCTTACATGCACATAAGTGTACCATGTGTGCAATGCCTGTAGAGGTCAGATGAGGGTGTCAAGTCCCCCAGAACTGGAATTACTGACAGTTATTAGCCACTAAGCTGGTGCTGGGAACTGAACCCAGGTCCTCTGCAAGAACAGCCAGTGCTCTTAACCTCTGAGCTATCTCTCCAGCTCCTGCATTATTTTTATAATCCTTTGCACACCTAAAATGATTTCAATATGAGAAACAAAGAATTGAAAAGAAATTGTAGTGAAAAAAAGATGCTGCAAACATTGGTGTTTTGGCTCTGTACCCTACTAGCACATGCTTGCTGCCAGTATCTGGGTGCTTTTCACTCAGAGTTTCTGGTACAGTGTTCACAGTGTAAATGGACAAATGGGACTCATTTAAGAAAATAATTTATTATTTTTATTTTTTTATGTGTATGAGTATATTGCCTGCATGTAAGTGCACCTGTGTTGTGCAATGCCCACAGAGGTCAGAAGAGGCTGTTGGATCCCCTAGAACTGGAGTTAAGGATGGTTGTTAGCCATCATCTGGGTACTGGGAATGGAACCCAGGAACTCTGCAAGAGCAACCAGGGCTCTTACCCGCTGAGCCATCTCTCTAGTTCTAAGCATTATACTTATTAAAGATGCCCTTAACATTTTCTATGTGTTCCTGTATGTGCATGTGCAGGTGTATATGTGTGCATGCAGAGGTCAGAGGACAACATCTGCAGGTATTGTTCTTTAGGTGTTGTCCACCTTTTTTTGAGGCAGGGTGTGTTCCTGGTCTGAAACTAACCTACTATGCTCTGCTATACTGGCTGTCCAGTGAGCCCCAGGGTTCCACTTGTCTCCACCTCATCTTTTTTTTTTTCAGACATGAGTTCTGAGGACCCAACTCAAATCCTCATGTTTCCAAGATAACCACTTTACCAACTGAGTTAGCCTCCCAGGGGACGGGAGAATGTAAAACTTAAAAGATGGAGAATACTAGACCTGTTGTCAACAGACCTGTTTCATCTAGCCTCTTCATAGCCCTGTACAATAAGCAACAGGACCCTGACCTTCCTGTGCCTGTTTCTTCGGCTGTAAAAACACTGAGAAATCACTATGGAAGGGCTGAGATGCACTTCAGTGGTGGAGCACTTGCCTAGCATGTGTCAGGCCCTATGTTCCATCCCCAGCATTGCTAAATAAATATAAAATGAAGTTGTGTATAATTTCAAAGTGGCAAGTGAGGCCTGGATTACCCATAAGATCTCCTTTGGCCCTAGGGTTCTAACGTGCATATGTCAGTTTAAAATTTCATCTTCCTAAGAGTACTTGGGAAACTCCTATTTACCTTCCACTAAGAACTAGATTTAACAGCAAGGGAGTGAATGAAACATAGCTTCTGATGAACACATGATGCCTGGCCCATGTGGACCAAAGATGGAGGACCTAACCGTAGAGGAGTGGGTTTACATCAGGAGTTCCCAAAACAACCAAAAAACCTGCCCAGAGGACCATACGAGAACGTTCAACCTTACAGTGTATCCTTATGTCTGTGTTGAAGACCCTTGGGTTTTATCTCCAGACCTTTCTTTCCTCAGAACACCAGACCAAGATAGATGTGCACCATTAAGCAGATCTTACATGGTTGATAACAGTAACCAAGAGGAGGGAGCAGGACTCAGTTTCCAGCATGAACTCACAAAACACAGTAGGGATTACTATTATTATCCTCCTAAAGGATAGGCTGAATAGTGGGTGAGTGACCTGACCAATCCTGAGAAGTCCCATAGCAAGAGTAGTGGAGCCAGGGGCAGAAGTGACACGATTTCAGTCACGACAAGGACTGGTGCCGAATACCGCAACCTTAAAGTGACCAGTACCCACCTCCCGGCCCCTCCTCACTCAGTGCTGTTAGTCTAGCCGAAAGCAATAAAAGCCAACTACACCCCGGTCTCCTCTGGCCATACACTGTAGAGTCCCATGCGATACTTCGTTTGGCTTCACATTCAAACCCTCGCCAGAACTGGCAACGTCCTTCTCCTCGACTCCGACTTCTGCAAGTGCTGTCTGGTCTCTGGTCCGCCCTTCAAGCCCCGGGCCCATCCCCGGTCTCCTCGCAGCCCTGGCAAGGCCGCTCCCGGGCTCGGAAGGCCTTCTGAAAATCCCCCTCCGCGCCCCGGAAGCCGGGTCTCCGGCCGCATCCCCCGCCGCAGGGATGCTCCTTTCTCGGATCAAAAGTGCCGCTTCTCTGTCGGTGAACTCCCGCCAGTGGACTCGCGCCGCGCCGAGGTCCGCTCTGGCAGGAAGCCGGACTGCAGGCCCTCGGACCGCCGCGCCCTTACCTGGATGGGCGGCCGTAGCCGCGCCGGGCGGCGGGGAGGGTGTCCCGCAACGGTCCCCGGCCCGCGGCCGCTTCTCCAGCCGCCGGACCAGCCAGCGCAGGGCGATGAACAGGACCGAGGCGCCCAGCAACTCCCAGACTAGCACCGCCCACTCGACCACCGCCAGCCGCTGCCACAGCATCGCCGCCGCCGCCACCGCCACCGCCGCCCGACCCTGAGCGCGGCCGCAGTGTCGCTTGCTGCCTGCGCCGCGCCCGCCTCAGACCTCCGCCAGGCCGCTCGCGGAGCTGCCCGCGCCGCGCCCCGCCCGCCTCAGGCCGCCCCTGCGGCTGCCTGCCATGGACGGTAGGGGACTGTGCGCGGCCAGGGAACTGGGCCCTAAAGATCCCGCCCGGAGTGAGGCCGCGACCCCGGTCGCCGGCGGCTCCTGCGGGAGCGAGGGGCTGACTCGAGAGAGGCGATGGCAGGCATCGGCGCGGGCAGCCCGGCGGGGTCCTGAGACAGGGCGGTGCTCGGAGCGGCGGGAGCCGAGTAGTCTCTACGTCACTCATGCAGCTGCCGGAGAACGCGTGGCGCCCCCATCACCCCGCATGGTGTACTGTCCCGGGGCCGAGAGGAGGCACGGACCTTGACTGGGAGAGGGTGGGTGGGGGACGGGCCAGGCCGCGAAGGAACTGAGGGAGAAGGAACTGGCTGGCTGCAGGAAGCACCCGGTGCGCTCACATCCACGCCGGTCTGAGCCTGTGATACAGGTCAGACCTTAACCCAAGCGGCCCGGAGTTGGGATTACTTGGGGCGGTCGAGTCCAGAAACCGTTCTCTGTTCGGCATTGCAAAGGCGGCTGTTTTTCTGTATTCCTGAAGGACCCTCCAGGCAGCGTGCTCATGCATTCTGAACGGATAACGTGCAAGGCAAGTTTGTGATAGTACTTGACTTTAGAGAAGTTTTTCACTGGTTAAAAAAGCAGTAGTGGGCTAGCGAGGTGGCTCATCAGGTCAAGGCGCTTACAGAGCTTCAGAGCTTATCCCTGAAACCCAGGTAAAAGTGGAGAGCTCCAGTTACTCTCTGACCTCCACAGGCTCTCCCCTCCACCCCCCGCATACTAAAGGAAAAAAGAGCTGTCCAGTTGCACCGTGTGGTGCCTGGGAGAAAATTTCCTGTTCCTTCAGTCTTAACTGAGCTAGGGAAGGCCTCGCGGATGCTAGTGCTACAATTGAGCTCTCTTCCCAGGCTGTTTCCTGTTTCTTAGTCCGAGTTAGTTTTTACTCCTCATTTCCTAACCATGTGAGGAAAGCTTTCCGGAGAAATTGCGATGCCTTTCACCTGATTCCCATCTGTGCACATGCAGTGGGACAGAAGGCAACAGCAGTGACCTGTTGGTGGGTAAAGGTTGACAACCAAGGGGCACATGTAATTTTGGAAACTGACAGAAGTATTTGTATTTTAATTGTAGTAGTGGTTATCAGAATTCTCAGATATGTATAAGATTTATATACTGACTTCTAAGTGAAAAAACTAAAAGATATAAATGCTGTTCTTAGTTTTAAAAGTTATGTACTAGAACCAGGTGTAACTTAGTGGTAACATGGTTTGCCTAACATCTGGAAGGCCCTGAGTTTAAAAAGTCCAGCAATGGATGCAAAATTATTGGATAGTACTGTTATTTGAACACGGGGAAGAAGAAAAGCCATACATCTGAAGATGGATGGAATGCAAATGGAAACTACAGTGAATATGGGGGAGGAGTTCTTGAGGGCCCAGCCCCCTCTGAAGAACTACAGGCAGTTACTGGTGGCTTGGGCAGGAGGGCTGGTGTCCCTCAGTGGTGTTGCCACTGGTAAATTGCCCTTGCTCCAGTAAATACATGCAGCTCTAACTAAATGTAGTGAGCTACACCAAAAAAAGACATGAAAGTAGGAGGGAGACTTGTTGGGAAGAAGAGGTTTGATGGGAGAGGGAAGGGGATAAGAGGATAATGGGGGAATATAATCAAAGCACATTATAAAGTACGGTGGCATATATGACCCACGAAGTGAGCACCAGATATTGAATACTGAATGTACAAGTACCTTGATCTTGGCTCTCAAGCTTCCAGCACTGTGGGGAGTTTCAGTTTTCTATAAACTACCCAGTTGGTTTTGTTACAGTAGCCCAAACACATTCCCATTGCTCAGCATTGTAGCCCTGTTTGTCTAAGAGGAATGAAAGTGGAGTATACAGATACATGTTTACAAGTGTTCATGACCAGTTATTCATAATATCCCCAAATTGGAAACATCCCAAGTGTAGTGGACAAGTGGATGATAAACCAATTGTAGAATTGTCATTTGATGGTATATTATTGCACAGTGTCACACTATGTGGTAGCAGGTGAATCTGAAAAACATACTAAGCAAAATAAGTCCAACACAAGAGAATGTATATAGAAATCAGAACAGCAGCTGTCCCTCACTGGGGGCAGTTGTCTGGAAAGGCACATTAAGGAAATGTTCTATATAGCTTGTTTAGGTTGCCTTTATAATGACAAGGGCACACATTGGTTCAAACTCATCAAACTATGAAAATATTTTCATTATATATATATATTTTTTTTGGGGGGGGGTCTTTTTGAGACAGGGTCCCCCTGTAGCCTCAGCTGTCCTGGAACTCACTATGTGGACCAGGCTGGCCTTGAACTCAACAGAGATCCGCCTGCCTCTGCCTCCCGAGTGCTGGGATTAAAGGCATGCGCCACCACGCCCAGCTGCATTATATTTTTTTAAAAGTGTCTTGTTAAAAGGAAACTGGCAGGTGTCCCTGATATGGTCAAGGTATTTCAATACTTGGTCATTTGGTGGCACTATTTTGGGAAGGTCATGGAATGGAATCCCTAGGAATTGCAGACTTGCTGGATGAAGCATTACACTGTGGGCAGGCTCATAGTCACATCCCATTTCCAGTTTCTCTCTGCTTCTTGTGCCTGTTTGAAGATGTTTTCTGCTCTGGCTGCCTTTTGCCATGCTGACCCTGCCATGACCAACTCTTAACCCTCTGGTACTGTAAACCAGATAAATTATTCTGTAAGTTACCCTTGGTCATGGTGTTTTTATCACAGCAACAGAATCTTACTTGTTGTTGTTTTTAACTAACTACAGGTGGTCCCCTGTGATAGTTTGGTGAATTTTTACTTTACCATGGTGTGATAGCATTATCCCAATGCCTGAGTAGCAAACTCCTAGCTGTAGCTAGATACCCAGTGGGAAACTAGCAGATAGTGGTGTATACAGCCACCATGTTGTGCCTTGAAATGAGACAGGTGGGATTCCTACTCCCTCTCTTCCCTACTTAAAAATGCAGACAGGCAGATGGGAGTCAAAGTGGAAGCTGTGACTGAATTGAGGAGGCACATTTGTCCTCAGCACATGTAAGCTGACCCGTCTTTAATATTTGGGCTATTCCAGGAGAAACAGCTCTTGCTTAGGCCACCAATTTGGGGGATTGCACTAGCCTGATTTCATGTCATATCAAGCCAAAGAAAGAATCCTAGCTGGTAAGGCTATATCCTCATTTTGCCTAATGAATTCCACATGCAATTAAATAAAATGGAATAATCAAGGGGGGAATGGAAAACTAAAATCCCATTAACAAGCCAACCGTGTTACTGTCATTTAATTTTAGGTGGAACTGAGAAGATGAGATGTAATGCCATACAGATAGAAGGGCATTTCCAGTAGCTAGCCATAGTAGCTCATACCTTTAATCCCAGCACTCAGGAAGCAGAAGCAGGCAGATCAGCTTGGTCTAGATAGTGAGTTCCAGGCCAGCTGGGGCTACAGGAAGACCATCTCAAAAAAACCAAAAAAAATAGGGCAGGGGTGTTTCCAGTCAATGAACAGAAATTAAGCTAAGGAGAATTGACAGGCTTTTCTGAAGCATGAGTTTAGCACAATTACTAATTTTAATTTTTTAAAGTCTTGCTCCAACTTTTGTTTTGAATTTTGTCTTGAACAAGACGTCTTGCCTGCATGTATGTAAGTGTCCGTGTGTGCAATGCCTGCAGAGGTCAGAAGAGGGTGTCAGATCCCCTGAACTAGAGTTAACAGCTTGGCCACCATGTGGGTGCTGGGACCTGAATCGGGGTCCCCTGCAGGAGCAGCCAGTGCTCTTAACAGCTGAACCATCTCCAGCCCATTTTGGTTTTTTGAGCGTTTTGCTGTGTAGCCCAGACTGGCCTTGAGCTTGAGCTCTTCCTGCCAGAGCCAGTGAAATGTTGAGATTACAGGCATGTGACACCATAATTTCACTTCTGACCCCAGATCATAAGAGCACCTGAAACCATCGGAGCTTTAACGAAGTAGAGGCTTAATTCTCACATGTACTTGGAGTGCGCTTCAGCAGGAAGATTGCAGGCAGCTTGTTGGGGGAGTTCAGAAAAAGGCAAAGTGGTGGGGTGAGGTTGGATGGAATGTCTCTTCTGTCAAAATGTGTAGTCTTTCCCTGCCAATGAGGACTTGATGGTAAGGCAAATTCTCAAGGTCACAAAAGAGTAGCCTGAGGATTGCCCTAGAAGGCTTGTGTGTGAATCATTGGCCTATGTGCAGTAAACTTACAGGCTGACCCAGAATCTGATGTGGACCCCTCAGATTATGTCTTCTGTTTAAGATGTGACCCCCTCAGGATAGATTCAAGGAGCTCTATAGAACAGGGACAAACCTGAAATGTGTAGTTAGTGTCAGCTGTCAATTGGGCATACTTGGGAAGAGAGACCTTCCATTGAGGAACTGCCAAAAATGGGATTGGCCTGTGGGTTTCTCTCTCTCTCTCTCTCTCTCTCTCTCTCCCCCCCCTCCTCTCTCTTCTCTCTCTCTGTCTGTCTCTGTAGCCCCAGCTGGCCTGGAACTTGTTATGTAGACCAGGCCAACCCCAATCTCAAGAGATCTGCCTGCCTCTGGCTCCTGAATGCTGAGATTAAAGGTGTGTGCCACCCCCAACCCTCCCTGGTTGTGGGTCATTTTCTTGATTACTATTTGATGTAGGAGTCCCCAGACCACTGTAGGCAGTGCTATCCTCCAGGTGGACCTGGTTATGTAAGAAAGGTAGCTGAGCAAGCCAGAGGACACAAGTCAGTTAAGTGGTATTCCTCTGTGGTCTCTATCAGTTTCTGCCTGGAGTTCCAGCCCTGGCTTCTCTCTAAAATATACTGTAACCTGTAAGCCAAATTATACCCTCCCCCAACCTCCAGGGTGCTTTTGGTCAATTTTGGTCATGACAACAGAACGCAAACTAAAACACCAGATGTCTGAGAAGTGTTAAAGATAATTTCTAATAATTTTTCGCAGCCCTGGGATTT